GCCCCCAGGGCGAGGTCGCCGGAACACGAGCGGGACTCTCCCGCAGCGTGGGTTGGCGGCGCGCACGAGGGGGCAGCGGGAGGGGGGAAGGCTTCCGAGACGGCGCCGGCCCTACATCTACAGACAAGGCGCGCGCCTTCTGAGAAGCCGGGGTGCTTCTAAGAAGCCTTCCCCCCTCCCCCTACCCTCCTCTGCGCGTGGCCGAGTAGGCAGTCCCTGAGGAAACATTTTTCCATACAGACACATGAGCGACGATCAAAAACGGATCTTGCGCGAGATGACGCAGCGACCTTACGCCGCAGCTTACGAGGGCGCTTACGCGCGAGCTTGCGCGGGCAGCTTACGCGCCAATGTCGGCGAAGACGACCCCGTTTTTTTGGCGTCGCTCAAATGGTCTTCATATTGCATGTCCTCAACCGCCGTGGCACTCAGCGGAGTCGCCGGGAGAACAGGGAGCAACCCACCAGCCGACCTGCGATAGGCGACGTCATGAGGCGAACCGTGGCCTGAGCTCGTCCTCCAACTCCTCCTCCTCCTCCTCCTCCTCCTCCTCTTCCTCTTCCTCCTCCTCCTCGTCCTCGTCCTCGTCCTCGTCCTCCTCCTCCTCCTCCTCCTCCTCCTCCTCCTCCTCCTCCTTAGAGGGAGAGAGAGAGAGAGAGAGAGAGAACAAAAAAAGCGCACTCCCAGAGGAGGAACTAAAGCCCGCCACGGGTGCCGAGGTGCTCTGAGGAGGGCAGCGGGCCCTCTGCGCAGCCGGGATGAGACGCGCTGGCCGCGGCCCGTCTCCAGAAGCCGTGCCGCCGCTCATGTAGCCTTGGGGCCTCCAGCTTGCAGGAGGGGGAAAAACACACACACAGACACAGTTAATCGACGATTCGCTAGAAACCACGGGAAAACAGGGGGAGTGGGAGGGAAGACGAAAATGCAGGAACTATGCGAAGATATCGAACATCCTGGGATTTTTGTGTGTATTTATTTGTGTGTCCCTGGGCCCCCTCAAGCTTGCTTCCCTCGCAGGGCCCGGGCGGTGCCGCCGCGGGGCCCCTTGGTCAGGCCGCTGGCAGCAAGAGGAGGGAGGGGACAGAGAGTGGACGGACGGATGCAACGGCAACTGCTCGCGAGGAGGAGGAGGAGGAGGAGGAGGAGGAGGAGGAGGAGGAGGAGGAGGAGGAGGAGGAGGAGGAGGAGGGGGGGAGGAGGAGGAGGAGGACGAGGAGGAGGAGCCCAGAACCAGCCCACACGTGCGCGACTTGAAACTCTGCCTACTGCTGCGCATCACCCTTTGCACCATTGCCTTAGCTGTTTCCACTCTTGTCCTTCCAAGTGGTTCTGGCTCCGAAGGAACGGAAGGCGCACCTTGCAGCAACCCTAGTTGACGCTCCTCCTTCTTGCTGGCCCCCCTCTTCCTTCGCCATTTGCTGTGCTGACATTGGGCATTCAAATCCAGCTTTCAAAATGTCCTTCTCCCCCTCCCATTTCCATTCGCTCCCCTACCCCCTTCCCGCTCCTCCCTCCCCCTCCTTCTCCCCTTACCGCCCAACTCTGGCCGACAAAATAGGTCAACTGCGCGCGTGCACATCAATGAATCAGTGACCTCTCGGACACCCGTGGAAGCGCACCGCCTCCCTCCTCACTCCGTCCTCCCTTCTCCGTCCTCCTCTCCTCCCTCGTATACCTTCCCTCTCTCCTCCCTCTCCTCTCCTCCCTCCTTCGCCCTCCTCCCCCCTCGCTCCTCCTTCTTCCGCCCTTGCACCCCCCTTCCCCGGCGCCTCCGGGCCCAAGCTCGGGAAGGGACGCCGCCTGGATGTGCGGGCCCAGCTGGTTGCGCCTTCTGCTTTTCTTACTTTGCAGGACCACCGAGAATCTGGAGGTGAGGCCCCCATCATGCAGCCCCGACAAGTAGAGAGGTTGTAAGGTTCTGAAGAGCCTGGACCCTCAGTTTCCCAGGCGCTCTTGGGCGCTCTTGGGCGCTACTGGGGTGTGTCGCGTGGGCCTGCGGAACGGTGACTCCGTCGAAAATGGCCCGAAACAAACCACGTAACCACACCAGCCCTTCAGGGCGTAGGTGGTCCAGGGTGTTTTGCCGTCCATCTGCCCCTTTTCCCCTTTGGGGAGGTTTATCACTGTTCCTTATTGATATACACTCCCTCCCCCACCCGGCCGGTGGCCAACCCGGAACCATGCTGGCCCCATGCGGGCCCGCCCCCCACCATCCCTGTCCCCAATATATATATATATATATGTTTGTATACACATATACTTTACCTATATACACATAGATATATGAACCGCACTGTCTCCACATTTGGAGCATGCGCGGCCAACCCGATGCCCCCCCCCACCATCCCAGCCAAAAACAAAGAACACAGTGGGGCAAAGTCCTGAGTCATGTTTGTGAGGCCCGCGAGCAGTTTGTATAGTTGTTGCCAGGGGCGGTGGGGGTGTCAGCATATTCCCTGCTGCGCGTAAGGCTAGCATGCCTGACAAAATCAATACAACATGCACCTCGCGGCTAAGTCTGGATCATGCGCGGCCATTCCGCGATCACTGTCGAGTGGTTTTGACAGGGACGGCGGGGGTGGTGGCGTGTGGCCTGCTGTGCGCAGGCCCACCAGACACAATGATGGGCATTGATTTTCGACAAGGATGGCGGGGACCGGCATGCTTCCCGATGTGTGCTGTCCCGTGCGCAGGCGCACCTGGCGCACTTTGCATGTGCCCCATAGAGTGTGCGGCACACCTGGCGCACTCGGAGCACGTGGAGCATCTGGCGCACTAGGCGTGCCTGGCACGCTCGGACCCCATAGGTGCCTGGCGCGCGTGGCGCCCCTTGCACGCGTGGCGCACCTCGCCCAAGCGTCGCGCACCTGGGGTCGGCTTCGGTTGCCAGTAGCTGTCCATCCAAAGACGACCGCTGAACATGCTCAGGCTCGGGTGTTGCTTATGTGTTCGGAGAGCGGGCGGGAGTGAACTAGACAGCTTGCGGGCGGGTGGATAGCTTGACCCCTCCCCCTAGTCCCTCCCCTGGACCTGGACGGGGGGTGCGGCGAGCGGTCAGAGTGTCCAAAATGGCCCAAGATGGCTCCAAGAACGCCTCGGAGAGAGCCCAAGATGAGCTCTGAGATGGCTCAGGATATCCCAAGATGTCTCAAGATGGCTCCCAAGATGCTCCCAGAGGCCCAAAGACCGCTCCAAGACGGCTCCAAGTGGCCAGCGAACTCCCCCAGGAGGCCCCAGAAAGGCCCGAACCCTTCCAAAACCTTAGGGGCCTCAGTGCTTTTTGCTTTCTCGCCTTTTCGCTTCCGATGGCCATCCGAGGCCTCAAGATGGCTCCAAGATGGCCCGAGAGGGCTCCAAGAGAAGCTCAAGAGAGCCCCAAGATGGCCCCAAGAGCGTCCCAGAGCGCCCAAAGAGCGCCCCAAGCGCCCCAAGAGGCGACAGCTGGGGCTCCCGAGGGGCAACGCTAATTAAGGCTCCTCTCGTGTTTGATCGATGTCCTCCAAGATGGCCCCAAGAGCGCTCCCAAGGCTCCCAAGAGTGCCTCAAGAGGGCCCCAAGAGGCGCCCATTGGGGCCCCACGAGGCGCCCAACAGGTCTCCAAGAGGCTCCCAAGAGACCCCCAAGAGGCTTCAAGAGGTTCCCCGAAGCACCCGAGACGCTCCAAGAGGCCACCGGGACCGCCAAGAGGCCCCCAAGATGCAAGAGAGGCCCAAGAGAGGTCCAATACGGCCCCAAGAGCGCTCAATAGTGTCCCAGGAGCGCTCCAAGAGGGACCCTTCCTCGGTGTGCTGCCCGCTTCCCTGATCGAGGCAACTCCTCTGGGCATCGTCTCTGGATGGGCTGGCGGGGTTACTTTTTAGTAAGCGGCCGCAGGCGAGCGCGCCAGCGGCGAGTTCAGTCAGAGCGGGGCGCGCACAGTCGAATTAACCTGAAGCGGTGAGCCGGAACTTCGCGCAGCACCTCAGCGGCGGGCCGTCGAGTGAAAGGGGCAAGCGGTAGGCGGGTCACCAAAACTGCCAAAGTCGCGTGCAACTGGTCGGAGCAGCGGGCGGCCAGAGTAACCGGCAACCAGGGAAAACTGCAGACGGGAATTAGGTGCAAGAGCGCGAGCCCCCGGACTACTGCGAAAGTACCAGGGTGGCCGCAGCCAAGTAAACCGACGGTCGGAGGTCGAATTGGGTGCCCAGACTGGGCATGTACATCGGCAAGCTGCGAGGTACCAGGGTGGCCGAGGCCGGGAGGCCCAACAGCAGCAGCACGCCTCAGTGCGAAGAGCAGCCAAGCTGCAGCGCGGCCAAAATGGCGCGAGGGCACCACGGAACCGTGAAACCAACTGGCTGGCGGGGTTACTTTTTTGGTCTGCGGCCGCGCGGCCGCGAGACAACGGTCTGGCGGCGAGAGGCAATGTCCGGGGCGGGCGGCACAAAGCGAATTGGCGACCCCAGCCGCCACGTTGGCAGGCCGAATCGACCTGCACAACAAGCGTGCAGTTGCACATGCACTGAACAAAATGCTCTGCATTCACCAGCAGACGCACCTAGGCGCCGCCCAGTATACCAAAGTGTACAAGCGGCCGCGGGTGCGATTGCAACGAAGTGAGTCGCCCGTGCGGCGCCAAACTCCAAGCAACCAGTCCGGCTAGCTAAGAAGCACGAGCCCAGCAAACCGGGCTGCCGGCGGTGGAAAACAAGAAGCAAAAAGACGCGGAAGGCTGAACCACTCAGCGCGCAGCCCTCGAACTCCACCGCTGAGTTGAAGTGCCAGCGGCACCCATCGCATCGAGTCCGGTGCCTGCGTCGAATGGCCCAGGGTGGATGCGACGATGCGTTAGACGCGGGCTGTACCAGGCTGCAACACTCAAAGCGAGGCCTTCGGGCACACAACCCCCAGTGCCGGTGGACACCAGCGACTGCCCGAGCACCACAGTGCCGTCCTGCTGCGGAGAGGCCCACCGATGCCAGCCGCGGACAACGCAGAGGGTCAGCCCGTGGGGGGGAGACCTCCGAGCTGCCTGTCCGCCGGGTCTTCCGACATGGCCTCCTCGGCCGCCGCGGGCGAACCCCTGAGGCAGAGCACCTTTGCAGTGGAAAAAGGGGGTGCAGCTAACCGCCGCAAGATACAAGTAACTTGATAGCAGCTGCACGCCGAGAACATCTGCGCATGAGGGGGGTGCAGCTAACCGCCGCGAAACACAATTACAGCGAGGGGGGGTGGCAGAACCTCGCCGATGCGGTCCGAGCTGGAGTGTGCCGGCGTCGGACGCGCCTCAGGGGGGGTTCAGCTGGCGGGGTTACGCGAAGCGTCTAGAATTCGCCAGAAGCGTCCAAGAGGGTCCCAGAGTGCCCCGAGGCGGTAACAGAAGGCTCCAAACTGCCCACGGTGCCCTGCCGAAGGCCCAAGATGCCTCCAAGACGCCCCAAGAGGCCTCCGAGAGCGCTCCCCAGAGGGCCCCAAGAGGCAACAATCATTGCTTTTCCGCGCGGACCTCCGAGTTCTCATATGTATGTCATTCTTCGTTTCCCTAAACTTATTCCCGCCCGAACTTCTCCTCGTCCTGCCTTCGTCTGACAGGGTGTGTGTGTGTGTGAAAACACACAGTGGGAAAACACACGGTGGAAAAACACACACAGTGGAAAAACAGACACACACAGTGGAACAACACACACACACACATATACACACATACACACACACCACACACAAACACACACACACGCACACAACCACACAACCACACAACTACACAACCACACAACCACACAACCACACAACCACACAACCACACAAACACACAAACACACAAACACACAAACACACAAACACACAAGCACACAAGCACACAAGCACACAAGCACACAAGCACACAAGCACACAAGCACACAAGCACACAAGCACACAAGCACACAAGCACACAAGCACACAAGCACACAAGCACACAAGCACACAAGCACACAAGCACACAAGCACACAAGCACACAAGCACACAACACACGCACACAAGCACACAAGCACACAAACACACAAGCACACAAGCACACAAGCACACAAGCACACAAGCACACAAGCACACAAGCACACAAGCACACAAACACACAAGCACACAAACACACAAACACACAAACACACACAACACACAAGCACACAAACACACAAACACACAAACACAAACACACACACACAAAACACACACAACACACACACACACACACAACACACAAAACACACACAACACACACACAAACACACCAAACAAACACCAAACACACACAAACACACACAAACACACACAAACACACAACACACACAACACACACACACAAACACAAACACACAAACACAAAACACACAAACACACACACAAAACACACAAACACACAAACACACAACACACAACACCAAACACACACACAGACACACAGACACACAGACAACACACACACAGACACACAGACACAGACACACAGACACACAGACACACAGACACACAGACACACAGACACACAGACACACAGACACACAGACACACAGACACACAGACACACACACACAGACACACAGACACACAGACACACAGACACACAGACACACAGACACACAGACACACAGACACACAGACACACAGACACACAGACACACAGACACACAGACACACAGACACACAGACACACAGACACACAGACACGCAGACACGCAGACACGCAGACACGCAGACACACAGACACACAGACACACAGACACACAGACACACAGACACACAGACACACAGACACACAAACACACAGACACACAGACACACACACACACACACGCAGACACACACACACACACAAAAACACACCACACACACCACACACACCACACACACCACACACGCCACACACACCACACACACCAGACACACCACACACACATACACACAGTTTTTTTGTTCCACAGGGGGGGGCAATGAATCGGGCTTGGGGGCACTCCAGAAACTGCACCGCGGCGTGGGCAGGAGAGACCGCGCGAGGAGGAGGAGGAGCAGGAGACGGGACAGTGAGAGCAACGTACGGTGAGGGCATTTTCTTTTTTTTGCGACACATGCGTGAAGCAGCTGGAATCAGAGAGGGAGAGAGATAGAGACATGCAAAAGGGCCTGTTCGCCTAACGCCCTGCACGTCCCCGAGGACGCGAAGCACAGACCGACGGGCATCGGCTAAGGAACCGTGGGGCAAGGAATCCAGAGTCTGGAAGCTGGTGGAACACCAATCGTGGATTGGCCATGGGAATCACCGCCGACCTCATCAGATAAGAAATCCTTCAGGGCTTGAAGCCCCCCTGGCACATTCCTTGACGAACGCCCCCACCGTCCATACGCTTCTCGATTTGTGAGCGTCATTCTTGCGCAGGGGCCATGCTAGTCTTCTCTGTGCCGTTCCAAGTTTAACGGATAATCCCCGAAGGGGATCCAGGACAGGGGAGCAGGAGGAGGGGAATGGAGGAGGGATGCACCCGAGCGCG